GTGGTGGACAATCCTGGAAAGTTTGCTCTGTTTGAACGCAGCGAGCGTCATGAGCAAGGTATTACTTACTTTTGTTTGATATTGAATTTGTGTAGTGTTTTAATTCTCTGGTTAAATAATCAGAAAGCCTTCCCTGATTTTACTTGGAACTTCAGTTTTTAATATTCCTTTTATTTACCATTCGTTTAATTTTCTGAAACTTGTCCACTGCATATTTTATTTAGTGTTTTCATTTGTCTCATTTAGTTTATGTACGCAAGTTGTCTGATGATGAACGCCCTCTCCGCCTGCGTCTGGGTGCTGGACCCAATGAGAAAATCCTCAGTTTTGTTCTGAAAGAAAATGAAACTGGAGAGGTCAACGTGAGTGACACTAACCTGAGATGAAAAGATCCACACAATGTTTTTCAATCACATAAAAATATTATACTGTAAACTACAAGTGCTATTTTCTCTCCTTACAGTGGCATGCTTTCTCCATGCCGGAGTTAAAGAACTTCATGCGCATCCTGCAACGTGAGGAGGAGGAACACGTGAAGCAGATAGTGCAGCGGTACGCTCTGGCCCGCATTAAGATGAAGGAGGCTCTGGCTGGCTCGACCCCCGGCTGAGACAACTCTGAGATGGGGGTTCAAATGTGCACCTATTGGCTGGAAAATCACATGACGATGACCAGTCAGCGCTGCATCTAAAGATCCCGAGGAACAAAACTCAAAACACCTCTTCGGTGAACGAGAGAGTGAGACAGGGCGCGAGACAATGAGAGAGAGAGAGCTAGCACGTGTGCGTGTGAGATAATGCGAGAGAAGTGCCTTACACCTGGAGCGTCTGATGTGCCTGAGAGAATGAGTTGAGAGGAGTGAAGAGAGGCAGATGAGACTGTGGTTGTATTCAGTAATATCTTTTTGTTACTGGGTACCAATCTGATTATCCGGTTTACCTCAGCGTTTTCTTTTTAGTTTTCCAAAAAGAAAAAAGTATCCAATCATGACATTACTGCCAAATTTTAGATGAAGTCAATCTGTTTTTTAAAACCCACCATGACAACCTTATATTACCATCAATCCTGTTGGAGTTAAATACATTTTTTGTCGCTGAAGGGTATTAGGATTTTATTTTGACCCAGCCTCAAAAATCTGCCACATCCTCTTCGACACCCCCGATGGGTGCAACTCTTTTTTTTTTTTGTCAAGTTGTGAGCTTGACTGATGAATGGACATTTGTATGAGACTATGAATGTCAGAGAGAAGTGTCAAAGTCACTCTGGTTGACTGGAATTTTGAATGAATCTAAGTATACATGTCTTTCAGTAGAAACTCATTCCTTTATATCTGTGTTTTATTCTGTCCCTTAAAAGAAAGAAAATGTTCTACTTCTTGTTTGTCTTTTCACTTTGAATGTATGCGTCTATGCACAAACTTAAATGTTGTAGCAGCCTTAAAGATGTTGTCACATTTGTGCAATGTTTCCAGTAAAGTTTCCAATGTATCTCAATGTTTTGTGTTTTTTTCCCATAACTTAGCCGACATGAACAATGTGCAATATAATGAAGGGCGTAAACCATATAACTCGTCACTTCTCATAGCAATACACAAAACTCAAGCGATTCAAATATCAGAGCTTCATTTATATGTATAAATAAAATTACTTATGTTTAAATAAAATGATCCTTACATCTTTAGGATGTGTACTACACTGTTTATATGTGTAAATAAAATGATCCTTACATCTTTAGGATGTGTACTACACTGTTTATATGTTTAAATAAAATTACTTATCCTTACATCTTTAGGATGTGTACTACACTGTTTATGTGTAAATAAAATGATCCTTACATCTTTAGGATGTGTACTACACTGTTTATATGTGTAAATAAAATTACTTATCCTTACATCTTTAGGATGTGTACTACACTGTTTATATGTGTAAATAAAATTACTTATCCTTACATCTTTAGGATGTGTACTACACTGTTTATACGTTTAAATAAAATTACTTATCCTTACATCTTTAGGATGTCTACCACACTGTTTATATGTTTAAATAAAATGATCCTTACATCTTTAGGATGTGTACTACACTGTTTATATGTTTAAATAAAATGATCCTTACATCTTTAGGATGTGTACTACACTGTTTATACGTTTAAATAAAATGATCCTTACATCTTTAGGATGTGTACTACACTGTTTATACGTTTAAATAAAATGATCCTTACATCTTTAGGATGTGTACTACATTGTTTATATGTTTAAATAAAATTACTTATCCTTACATCTTTAGGATGTGTACTACACTGTTTATACGTTTAAATAAAATTACTTATCCTTACATCTTTAGGATGTGTACTACACTGTTTATATGTGTAAATAAAATTACTTATCCTTACATCTTTAGGATGTGTACTACACTGTTTATACGTTTAAATAAAATGATCCTTACATCTTTAGGATGTGTACTACACTGTTTATATGTTTAAATAAAATTACTTATCCTTACATCTTTAGGATGTGTACTACACTGTTTATACGTTTAAATAAAATTACTTATCCTTACATCTTTAGGATGTGTACTACACTGTTTATATGTGTAAATAAAATTACTTATCCTTACATCTTTAGGATGTGTACTACACTGTTTATATGTGTAAATAAAATTACTTATCCTTACATCTTTAGGATGTGTACTACACTGTTTATACGTTTAAATAAAATGATCCTTACATCTTTAGGATGTGTACTACACTGTTTATACGTTTAAATAAAATGATCCTTACATCTTTAGGATGTGTACTACACTGTTTATACGTTTAAATAAAATGATCCTTACATCTTTAGGATGTGTACTACACTGTTTATACGTTTAAATAAAATGATCCTTACATCTTTAGGATGTGTACTACACTGTTTATATGTTTAAATAAAATGATCCTTACATCTTTAGGATGTGTACTACACTGTTTATACGTTTAAATAAAATGATCCTTACATCTTTAGGATGTGTACTACATTGTTTATATGTTTAAATAAAATTACTTATCCTTACATCTTTAGGATGTGTACTACACTGTTTATACGTTTAAATAAAATTACTTATCCTTACATCTTTAGGATGTGTACTACACTGTTTATATGTGTAAATAAAATTACTTATCCTTACATCTTTAGGATGTGTACTACACTGTTTATACGTTTAAATAAAATGATCCTTACATCTTTAGGATGTGTACTACACTGTTTATATGTTTAAATAAAATTACTTATCCTTACATCTTTAGGATGTGTACTACACTGTTTATACGTTTAAATAAAATTACTTATCCTTACATCTTTAGGATGTGTACTACACTGTTTATATGTGTAAATAAAATTACTTATCCTTACATCTTTAGGATGTGTACTACACTGTTTATACGTTTAAATAAAATGATCCTTACATCTTTAGGATGTGTACTACACTGTTTATACGTTTAAATAAAATGATCCTTACATCTTTAGGATGTGTACTACACTGTTTATACGTTTAAATAAAATGATCCTTACATCTTTAGGATGTGTACTACACTGTTTATATGTGTAAATAAAATGATCCTTACATCTTTAGGATGTGTACTACACTGTTTATACGTTTAAATAAAATTACTTATCCTTACATCTTTAGGATGTGTACTACACTGTTTATATGTTTAAATAAAATTACTTATCCTTACATCTTTAGGATGTGTACTACACTGTTTATACGTGTAAATAAAATGATCCTTACATCTTTAGGATGTGTACTACACTGTTTATACGTTTAAATAAAATGATCCTTACATCTTTAGGATGTGTACTACACTGTTTATATGTGTAAATAAAATTATCCTTACATCTTTAGGATGTGTATTACATTGTTTATATGTGTAAATAAAATGATCCTTACATCTTTAGGATGTGTACTACACTGTTTATACGTTTAAATAAAATTACTTATCCTTACATCTTTAGGATGTGTACTACACTGTTTATATGTTTAAATAAAATTACTTATCCTTACATCTTTAGGATGTGTACTACACTGTTTATACGTGTAAATAAAATGATCCTTACATCTTTAGGATGTGTACTACACTGTTTATACGTTTAAATAAAATGATCCTTACATCTTTAGGATGTGTACTACACTGTTTATATGTGTAAATAAAATTATCCTTACATCTTTAGGATGTGTATTACACTGTTTATATGTGTAAATAAAATGATCCTTACATCTTTAGGATGTGTACTACACTGTTTATACGTTTAAATAAAATTACTTATCCTTACATCTTTAGGATGTGTACTACACTGTTTATATGTTTAAATAAAATTACTTATCCTTACATCTTTAGGATGTCTACCACACTGTTTATATGTTTAAATAAAATGATCCTTACTACTTTAGGATGTGTACTACACTGTTTATATGTATAAATTAAATGATCCTTATATCTTTAGGATGTGTACTACACTGTTTATATGTTTAAATAAAATTACTTATCCTTACATCTTTAGGATGTCTACCACACTGTTTATATGTTTAAATAAAATGATCCTTACTACTTTAGGATGTGTACTACACTGTTTATATGTATAAATTAAATGATCCTTATATCTTTAGGATGTGTACTACACTGTTTATATGTTTAAATAAAATTACTTATCCTTACATCTTTAGGATGTCTACCACACTGTTTATATGTGTAAATAAAATGATCCTTACTACTTTAGGATGTGTACTACACTGTTTATATGTATAAATTAAATGATCCTTATATCTTTAGGATGTGTACTACACTGTTTATAAATGATCCTTACATCTTTAGGATGTGTACTACACTGTTTATAAAATGATCCTTACATCTTTAGGATGTGTACTACACTGTTTATAAAATGATCCTTACATCTTTAGGATGTGTACTACACTGTTTATAAAATGATCCTTACATCTTTAGGATGTGTACTACACTGTTTCCTTTAAGTGACTGGTCGCCGTCTGTCAGTCACATCAGCTGATCCGCTCAAAGACCAAAACAGCAAATGGTAGCCCAACGTAGCTGGTGTGGTTAAAGTTATGTCAGGACGTGACCATATGATCGTTTGTGAAAAGGTAGGATATTAACCAGAAGTGCGTTTGCTAGGATCATTCCAATTCGTGTAGGGTGAAGATAATCCCGTGTTTACTTGTCGACAAAGCTCTGCTTCGTCAAGCTAGCTGCTCATCATTTAGCCTCCACAGCTAACCTGCGTCAGCGGCGGAAGCTAACAGGCTAACACTTAACCCACCTAAATATGCAGGTACCTTTAGAGAGGTATTACTAGAAACCTGTGCAGAACTCCAGGTGGGTTCTGATGTGAAACAGTCGGTATGTGCTGTATTGTGTTTCTAAGTTAATGTTACCAATGTTGCTGCTGGATAACCTTTATTGTATGGCCTTTTATTTTAGCTTCCCGTAAAGTAAACAGTATAATTTTAAGTTACAATTTCAATTTGATAGCCTTTAGTACATTAAATGTCATTTTAGTGAGTTGTTTTTCTTTATCATTTGCGGTACTTGCATCGATAGGCATCAGTTCTTCTGTTAGCATCGTTGATTAGCTGCATCTCAGAAGCATAAATACATCTTTATTAGAGTAATACTGCTACTGATGACATTGACAATACCATGAATCTGTACTTATCATATCTCTAATTACACTATGTATAGTATGCAAAGAAGTTAAACAAGCACTCTCAACTTTACACAACCAGCAGGCAGAGAAAGTTTGATTGTGAATTTGTCCTTTTATTATGCACCTTTGTCTTTTCAGATCCTGGCTTTGGAGAGGAATTGAGAGCATCTGGGAGCAAACCTGGTGGACAGTTTCAACTGTGAACTAACTATGCCTTATCTCTGAGGATGGGAGGAAGTGGATCCAAAGCCAAAGGAGTCTGGCCTTTCTCAGGCAGTGGAGCTGGAGGGGATTCACCTAGTGATGGAAATGAGCAGTCTGTGGCCCGTCTCAAAGGTTCCAGAAATGCAACACCGTTTGTTTTTACCAGAAGGAGGTAAATAATACATCCAAAGATAGAAAAGGTTGGGCTCACCTAAATCTGGTTTCTTACCTTTTCCTAGTAAAGCTAGTTTCTATGGATTGATTATGGCTTTGAGACATCTGTGTTTGAAATTTTAGGTATCCAAGTGTGAAAAAAACGAATAGCCATATACAAAGGGGCCATTTATGCCTCCATGTAGCTAAAAGTAGAGACATGCACTAAATGCGGGCAGAGGGAAATAGACAAATAAAGAGAAAAACTGAAATGAGCGAAAGTGTGAGGCTGGATGGTATTGGGGACCACTGAGGTTAATCCATCAAACAAAAATAGCTTCCCAACCCCAAGGCCATTAGAGTGCCCCAAACAAAATATCACTTGTTATTTTTAGCAGATCTGTGTTTCTAGAGAGTATAGAGGTAACTAGAAACAGACTTTATAAGAATTACTTTTCGATGAAAATTAGGTCCCAACAAAAAGCTTTTCTCAGTTGTATACATTGATCTCACATTGGATTAAGAGAACATCAATTCAAATGAGTCTTTAGCTTCAAACAGCTAACAGCTTCAAAATAATTTTGAAGGTATTTGACCTGTTTCAGGAAGAAAAACATGTCTCTTTCTTTCCCTTTGATTTTCCTGAACACGTCGTCTTGCACACAGTTATTTAGGATAAATTGGTATAATCTCCCCCAAAAAGAACATCACACTTCATTACTTTCTGGCAGATATCCTCATAAGGGAATAGATGGTCTTAAGCTCACTATTCTCAGTTTGGATGTGATGGCAGAGGAGAAGAAACAGAAGAGGAGGAAAGCTAAAAATTTAGTTTGATGATTGATGAAGAAAGCTAAATAAAAGAGAGGGTGTCACCAACTAAGACTCCGGAAAAAGAATAAATCACTGACTAGCATTTACTTGAAGACACAAAAGTAAATTGATGTCTGAAACTGTGGTAGCACTTAGTTTAAAATATACCTATTCTTTCGTCATGTTGCTTTGAATTCAATAACTTTCTTCCTCCAAAGCAGGGCAAATTAGATAAACAGATAAAACATGCAGCTCAGGTAAACACATCCAAAATCATTTAGTAAGAAGTTTGAATTATGAAAACATTTATAGCTCTTTGTTAGAGCTTTAAGTGCTACAAGCTTAGTGCATCATACAGTGGTAGGAATCTCAAAACCTCTGCAAATTAAACTTGTACCATTATGGGTTAGTGAGAATATATATAATAATACTTGTTTACAAAGCATTGTATTAAATTTGATCTGGTGCCCTTTCTCTAGACATGCAGTTTTAGACTGATGCTTGCTCTGTTTGCAGCTCTTTGTACTATGACGAGGATGGCGACCTCGCCCATGAATTCTATGAAGAGACGGTGGTAACAAAAAATGGCAGAAAAAAGTCCAAGTTGAAGAGGATCCAGAAAAATCTGATCCCACAGGTAAACATTTGCCACATTGCAAATTTTGGTTGAAGGATATTTGGAATGATTTTTCAGTCTGAATTTTGTTTGTTTTATTTTTCAGGGCATTGTGAAGCTGGACCACCCCTGTATTCATGTAGATTTCCCCATTGTGCTCTGTGAGGTGTGAAAAGTAGCACAGGACTTCTAAATTATAAAGTGCAGCCACAGGTCCACATCTCAAAGGAAAGTCTTGTTCTGGTCTACATGCATCGCAGTCAAGACTAGGACCATGGCTATGAGAGAAGATGGATAATTCAAACTGGCATATTAAACTGATATATTGAATGAAATGTTTTACATTTGAATTCAACTGTGGTCAGAGGATGCCCTGGTCACAAAAACCCTAATTTGATATTCACAATCCTAGTGATGGTACAGGTGGTGTTTCCACTACCCAGCTGATATGTATGCAGTCAGTAGAGAAACTGTATTTCTCTTGTAAGTCTTTTGCAGGGAAAAACATCCTTGATGTGAAAAGGCTTTAATGGTATATGCCTTCTGTGAGACATAGAGTGAAACTATATGTGCCCTCGTATGTGTACATGTGTGCACTTGTGGTTTGTTTAAGTGAGTGTGTGAGAAGGATTGAAGATGTACTCACAGGGTAGAATTATGAAGGATTGTGAAATGTATTGTATATATGGTCATGTTCTGTATTGTCACGTCTGAGTCTGTCTCAGTTACCGAAGCTCAGACCTGCACTAGTGAACATAATGCACTGTAAATAATTTCAGACTTCTTAGTTGGAAATACTTGAATAAATGGTAACTGAGCTGAATACCTTGAGTCAAGACACTCTCTTATTATGTTGCTTATGGCTGCTTATTACCAGTGAGGCATGTCCTGGAAAAAGAACCCTCTTTGAGGGCTTTTTATGGAGACCTTTATTGGAGAGACAGGATAGATAGAGTCAGAAAACGGGATAAGAAAGAGTTGGAAATGACAAGCGGTGAAGGAGCCACAGGTCGGATTTGAACCTGGGCCACCCACTTCAAGGACTACAGCCTCTGTACATGGTGCGCACAAACTAGGCCACTGGCGCCCCAAGCTCTATATACTAATAATGGCAATACTCAATAATAAACTATTGTGCCACCCCACTTAGGATGTCAATTGATAGCATAGTTCATATATGAAGAAACATTTTCCCATGAGTAAATTTTAAATTCAACACTAATTCATTTGTGTTTTTGTTTTATTTTTTTGTCTTTAGCTAGCTGATAACAGTTGCTTCATATTGAATTCAAAGACAATATTGTGTTTCATCTTTTGACTTATGATATTAAATATATTTCTCAAAATGCTCAACTATTCCTCAAAAATGTTTGCGCGCTGTTTAGAGAGAATCTTGGTTATCTACTAAAAGCTGCATGTGTCCACTGCAGTACACTGATTTGAGTTTACTAAAAGGGAATGGACAAGTTGTGACTGAATCAAGTGGTCACTTCCATTGCAGCTGAGAGCATAATAAGGTTGCCCTTATTGCCTTTCTTGGAGTTCTGTCTACATTGCTGAATTGTAAGCCTGCTGTTTGCGACACAGATTTTATTTAATTTTTTTCTAGTTATTTCTCAACTCATTTCTCAATTGCCATCATCTGATCATCATAAATCTGATCATCTATCATCATAAATCAGGTACAACGCATCTTTTCTCTTCTGAGACTAATGTCATTTTGTACACTGTCCCTGATTCAAATAAACTAAACTGGGTCAAGATGAAGATCTTCTGCAGGCATTATATTGAAATTAAAATAATTAACAGTTCCATTAAATGTAAGGCAAGGAAATGTGTTAATGGACTTGTCTATATTTAAAAAAAAAAAAAAAAAAAGTTTCCTTTTACTCTAATGATAACCCTTTGCTGTTAGACTTGACAAAAAGGCTGAAGATATGATTAAATGGTGAACTCAAATCATATCCCGTTAAGCCTTCTGCTCCCAGCTGGCGCATTATCAAACTGTAATGGCAATGTACACATCTTTTTTTGAAAAATCCCCTCTATAAATGGGAAGGGCTTCCTTTGCAGGCATTCTCTGGTGTCTGTAATTGTGTGGAATGTGGTCGGGAGTGTTTCTGGGCCAGAGGTCAGTCACTTTGATGTTCTTCCTCTCCACTGCTCTTTGATGTTTTCAGAACAGTCCAGCCTGCGTTATAAGAATGAACTCTCTCTTGTACAGCCATAAAAATGTATGAACTCAATGCGTTTGACACTGCTGTTCTGATCTGTACAATATGTTCTGTGATGTATGCAATGTGTTTTAAGAGAGAGAAGCTGTCCATGTGACCGCAGCTCAGAGAGGTAGTCATTATAAATTATCAGCAGCCCTTAAAACACTAAAACATGCTTTGACTTAAACACAAAACAGAAGTAGCCTTCATTGATTTCTCAGGATCCCCTGATTCATCTAAATGTACTGTTATGTTAGGATTATGTTACTTTTTGTATAGTGTGATTATAGTAAAAGAAAATAATCATGCTTAGTAGATATGTGTCGCATTATAATAATCATAATTTTCCAGAATTATATTATTATATGATTTCAAACTGCTGTGAAATCTGTGTACCAGTAGGCTAAGCAGTTTTGACCCTAATTATATTACATAATATTTTGACCCCAAAATTCACAAAGACAGTTTTCTATCTAGGTCAAACTTGTTGGGAAACTCAAATATTTTGCTGATATATTCTACATTTGCTATTATATTAACTGAGAGTTTACCAACACTATTATTTTATAATTTTGTAACTGGTCAGGAGCTGAAAAGGCAATTCATTTTACCAAGGTCACAATAGAAGGTGTTTGATTTATTTGATAACCCATTAACTACCTTAAACAATTATTAATAGGAGCATTTCTTGGCTACAACTGCAATTTAATAGTGTTACATTGCCCGTTAAGTTGTGCTTAAATTGTATAGAAACAGCTAGCTAGTTAATGGTAATGGTGGCTATGAATTTGACCATAGCTAGGTAAAGATAATATTAGCCTTCAATTTAAAATTAGCAAGGTAATGGTAATCTAAGCCAGGAATTTAATGTTAGCTAGCTAATAGGTATGATGAATGTAAAGGCAGCTAGGATTTTAATGTTAGCTATTGGTAGTTTAAGCTAGAAATGTAAAGCAAGCAAGGAATTTATTGTTAACCAGCCAGTGAGCTTAATGTTAGCTTAGGACATTATAATAATTACCGAATGGTATTGTTAGCTGGTACAGTGTTATTAGATGTTTGCTTTTGGTTTAAAGGTAGCCTAACATTTGCTTTCATTTTTTTTATCAGTGCGTAAGGGGTGAAATAACAAAGGTTTGTCAGATTCCCCAGGTTTATATGACTTGTAAAACTGGAAAAGGCTGAAAATATAAAAAAAACCTAAACTTGAGCATAAGGTCAGAGGGCAATCGTGTCTAAATTGTGCATAGCCATTTGTATAGCAAATACGTAAATGCCAAATTCAAGTAAATTGGGTCATTTGATGTTGTGTTCATGAGAATCCAAATAAGGTACCTTTACGGTCATTAAGGTTAATCCCAAATGTAAACCAAAATTCCCTTTGCCTCAGTTCACTGATCACGCGATTACACAAATGCATCACAAATTCATGGGACACAATGTTAATGTGGCAGGGTGTGTTTCCAGTTTCCTTGCCATTGTTTTTGCTTCCTGAAGGTCCTTCACTTCTGCTGATGCAACGTTTAGGAGGCAGAGGTCAAAGGGAAGCTGGAGGGAAACCAGACCGGTCCTCTATTCATCACCCTCCCTATTCATTCACTTACTCTCTACTTTTTCCTTAAACACACACGTAGGCAGATTGGGTTCGAGAGAAAAAGAGAAAAAAAAAACGGATGACATGGTGATGTGAGTCAGCAAAGCTTGAAAAACAAACAGCAGAAGGGATTCTGACACAGGAAATCATCTCACTTCCAGGCCCCTTCCTCACCCCAATCATGTGCACAGCCTTCTTCCAGCTCACATGTATATGCAAAGGAAACTTTTAGATGAACACCTTTCTTTTAAACTCACTCATCAACTGCTAGGAAGAAGTTATTTTAGTGATGAGAGAGACACTTTTGCAGCTGTTCACACTCAGATTACTTTTCACGGAGTATGAGAACAGGTTGTTAAATTTGGTAAATTATGTGTCAGAGCATGGCCTCTAGCCTTTTCCCCCATGGCCATTTATCCTGCGTGCCTAACCATGGCTCTGCACCATCCTATCTGCTGCACTTGGCAACATGACAGCATGTGGTACTTGGCTACTTCCCTGAGCCACTGCCAGAGGCTGTCATCACATGCCTCAGGCGGCAGTGACATCTGCATGCCAGATGCCTAGTGCCCGCTGTCTGAAGTGTGATCAGAGCATTAGTGGGAAAAACATTAAAACCCTTCAGTCAAGTAGTAACACAGAAATGTAAAAGTACATCAAGTTTTCTGAATTGTACTTATCGCACACTGTTAAGTGACTGATGCAACAACATGAGTAAAAAGTATTTGTTGGACTGGACAGTGTGTAATGCAAACATGCATTCAATTGCATTCAGTTAATGAGATTTTGTTGATACTGGTTCTACCCCTTTGCACTACTTTATCCTAAAATGTCTTTTAGAGGCCGATATAAATGTTGCAGGATGTGATGAACCATATTCCAATATGGTAATTGATTGACACAAAAAAAAAAAAGCAGTAACTTTTGTTTAACCCTGTCAAGCTATACACTACTGCTTTTTAGATTGCTAATTTTACAAAACAAAACAATAACCACTGTAAATTAAAACTTTGCAATTGTCCTTTCCGCACTGTTTGTAGTTAACCTACATGAATACTCTGTAGTGGTTGAAATATAGCCTATCATAATGTGTGATATTTTGGTTTACTTCATACTAAAGATGGTGGTTGGGTTTTTAAGTGTCCTATACTTATTTGGATTCTGCCAATCAAAGCTCGAATCACATCCGCACAGTGGGTTGCAGAAGAGATTTTTAGAGTTTATTGTTTATTACTAAGAATTTTTCAAATCTCTTTGTTAGTTTGTAGTTCTTTATTAGAGCTTATTAATATAGAGAAGTTATTTACATCAATGCAAGTTTTATGGCCTCATATTTTAAACCAAAGGTTTTTCACATCATTTCCATTGAGTGTCATTAAAAGCTACAGTATATCTGATGGAAATGCAGCTGAAAGGTCACATGAAAACAGTGGTCATTTCTTCTTCGGTGGTTTGTAGAAGCTGCAAATACAGTGATCTTATTTATAGGGATGTGGCACACTGGCACGCTCTGACCTTTTATGAATCTTGTCACTGCTGCTTACACTGTATCTGTTTCACAGCAGAGGTGGTGGTAGCAAACTTTTCTGGACGGATTCATTCAGCGCTGTACCGGGGAATCGGAAATTTGCTTAGACAACGCTATCAAATATAATAAAGCTTAGTCTCAAAGTTGCGTGTAGGTTTATGGAGAAGAAAGACGTCGTTGTAGCCCATGAGACACGGTGACAGAGTTGTTAGGATGTTCGTTTTGTTTCGCAGCTCCCCCCTTTTCCGAGTCTGAATGGAACATCCTAAAAGTGGTTTGGCACTCGGGGCAGGCAAGCGGCAACTGACAACATCGCAGGGGGCAACTTCACTTCTCTTCATTTTACCGACCGCTTGCTGTCCAAGAGCGGAAAGAGACTTACCAGGAACTCATGCCTTTGTGAATTTACCCCGTCGTCCTTTTCCTTACACTAAAGCTATGTTTATTTTGAATATTTCCTATTTGCTTTGAGGCAGCTGCCTTCAGAAAAAGGTCGCTGCTTGGAGGAGCAGGCTTGGTTTTTGGGAATGCTTCCTCAGCCTGCCAGCAAAGGTAAGTTTGTCCGGCTGCAATGTCATGAATTTACCTTTGCAGTTGGATTGACCAGCTGCTCATTCATTGCTCGAAACTGTCTTAAATTGAAGTCAGTTTGTAAACTAGTTTGTAAGAGACAGAGAGAGAGCGAGAGTAAGATCTTGAAGTCCAACGTGGGCAGATGGGCTACTTTATGTAAACTAAATGATGATATAAACTTTATATTTTCAAACTACTATTATTTTAGTTATTTTCTGTTGCCTAACAATAAAAATCAAAAGTCAAATTGTAACTGTATTTTCTGGCCTTTTAAAGCATTGCTGATACCAACAATGAATAGAAAAGTTAACCAAAAAAACTAAATGTCACTTCCTTTGTGAATGACAGAGCGACAGAGTGACTGTGACTTCTTCCTGAATACAAATCATTACAGTCTAACAAAATCGCTTTATGCTCAAAAAGCACAACACAGCTCACAATGGTTTTTAATTTCTTTTTGAATAATAGACTTCATTATTAATGTACTTGGGACAGCAACATTTTGTATCACAAACAAAAAAAAAGTAAATTTCAAAAGTTTGATTTCCTCTGACTTTCAGAGCAGAGCGTGACGGTCCCCTCTGTCGATCCACAACTGAAGACATGTTGTACTGGACTTTGCCTGACTGGAAAGTACTGCTGCTGATTGCTCTTCTGTGGGACCGCCTCTGTGCCTCAGGACTCAAACCCACGAGATGGCCACTGTATTCACAAAAGCCTCTGCTCTTGGCTTGGAACGCCCCGACTGAAGACTGTGTCCCGCGGTATGGCGTTCGCTTTCAGCTGGACCACTTCCAGATTGTGGCCTCACCCACTGAGGGCTTTGTTAGACAGAACCTCACCATCTTCTACAAGGAGCGCCTTGGCCTGTACCCTCACTTTAATCTGGATGAAACACCGGTGAACGGAGGGCTACCACAGGGGGCCAGTCTAGCACAGCACCTGGAGAAAATGCCAGAGGGAGTTATGAAGTATATACGTGACCCAAAGGCCAAGGGTCTGGCTGTTATTGACTGGGAGGAGTGGCGCCCGCTCTGGATACGAAACTGGGAAACTAAAGATGTTTACCGCAGACACTCTCGTGAGATGGTGCGTCAGAAGAACCCAACATGGCCTCCAGATCAGGTGGCAAAAGTAGCCCAGCAGGAGTTTGAGATGTCTGCCAGGAAGTTCATGCTGGAGACACTGAAGCAAGCCAAGAGCCTGAGGCCCAACCAGCTCTGGGGTTTCTACCTGTTCCCTGACTGCTACAACCACGACTATAGGCGCACTTTGGAGAACTACACCGGTCGCTGTCCGGATGTCGAGGTGGCCCGCAATGAAAAGCTGAAATGGTTGTGGACGGAGAGCACTGCCCTCTTCCCCTCCATCTACATGAGCACTGTGCTACGTTCTTCCACCTCCGGACGTCAGTTTGTCCGCAACCGGGTGAAGGAGGGGATGCGTTTGGCATCGTCGGGTGATGGCTTGGCACGTCCGGTCTTTGTGTACACCCGCCCCACCTACGCCAACTCCCTGGAACAGCTGACAGAGGTGACGCTTTAACCGTAGTAACACTGCCAGTACTTCTTTTCTTTTTTCTCTCTACCAGTTTTTTTTTTTTTTTTTTTTAAACTAATGTGTTCCTGTCATGTCAGGTCATGTTACCTTTTTGGAAGAGTTTTTTTTGTTCCAAGATTAACTCTCACACTGTATCTCATTCACCACTTTGCCTCTGATCAGTGCATGCTCTATGTATCTGTAACTCTCAGCTTTTCCTTATCGCAGCCACATTCCTTTCCTGTTCTGGTACCAGATGGACTCCCCCGTACACCTCTCATTTGTGCAAAGTGGGCAGGATGGGCGTTGGTCAAGTTGAAAACCCTGCTAACAACCTATAGACCGTTTCCTCCCGGGAGAGTAAACAGATAAGAGCTGCGGCTGGGCCTCACTTACAGTAGCAGTAACATTTGACCCAGATATGTAGTGATCTTTAACTGTGTATTTTTCCTGAGCTTGACCTTTAGTCTTAGTAATGTATTAGAGTAAATGTGATATGGTTAAAGGGCTGTCTCATCTTTTTACAGACTGACCTCGTGTCCACTATCGGGGAGAGCGTGGCTCTGGGAGCAGCTGGGATCATCCTGTGGGGAGATGCAGCTTATGCAAGCAGCAAAGTAAGAATTTACTTGTGCTAATTATGAAACAAACCTTAAATCACTGAGACACACCTCACAAATCTGACACGATCATGTGGTAGCGACCTGCTGCTCTTGTCTGTCACGTGTGCAGTCATTTGATAACAGCCACTCCTCAGGGATGTAAGTGACTCACATGGACATCTTCAGACACACAGGAGATGTTTGTTTGTGGAGGTTTATTTGCAGTCACATTAAGGCTGAGAAGAAATAAGAAAGAAGAGAAGAAATTCAGCTTAATCTTAATGAGGAACCATTTCCTGCATGTGTGCTACTTATTTGCAGTGCATATCTTGCAGTCGTTCAAACTGAAGAAAATAATGGAAAATGGGTTTTTCCGTTCATTTGCATTTGCGCCTGTCATCAGTAAGTAACCAACCACACATTTGCATTCATTAGATGGATCGCTTTCTTCTGCGACAGTAATGACAAACAAATGTTGAGTTCTGCAGCAGCATTTCATCTAGGTCATTTTAAGGGAGAAAAAGGGTCCTTATTATGCACATGATTGGTGAAACATTTGATCCATTTTATAAATTCTAAATGTTTATGATATCGAAATAGAATATATCCACCTGGAATGGTTGTGGATTGCAGTGAAAATACATGTTTTCTTCCTAAAAATGTCTTAATTTTTGATTAATCAACACATTTTAAACTGGATGTAAAGGTGTCATACAGATAAAGAAGATGTAGGATTTTTCTTAATTATGAATGTAGCATTTGTATCATTAATGCAAAGACATTTTTCTGAAATCAGAAATAAAAGAGAATAGAAGGGGGAGATGCATTTTTATATAAAAAAATAAATCTTAAGGAAATCATACTAATCTGTTGACATCAGACATTACTGTAATTTTTATGATTGATACCTGTGAGGATCTCAAACACTCTCCCATTGCTGATTGTTCTAATAGAAAGGATGGAGCTCCCACACATCCTTTGACCTCACCGTCAGGATAAACATGATTAAAGTGTTTTCATTGTCTGTCTTATTGTGAGTCTTGGCCTCCAGGTGAGTGATGACTGTGTTGTTTTTCCCCCCTTCAGACCAACTGCATTGACCTGGACGTGTATATGCGGGGTCCGCTGGGTAAATACCTCGTCAACGTCTCCACGGCAGCAGAGTTATGCAGCCAGACCTTGTGTGCCTCTCATGGACGCTGTCTGCGCAGAAACCCAGACAGTGATGTTTACTTGCATCTGAACCCCCTCACCCATAGCATCAGCAGCCAGAGCGGCCGGCAGACGGTCAGCGGTGAGCTCAGTGAAGAAGAGAGGAAGAGTTTTCACATTGAGTTTCAGTGTCAGTGTTACAAAGGCTACGAGGGAGAGGGCTGCAACCAAATAGACCCTTTACATCAAAAAGGGGGTGCATCCAAAACTCTCGTCTTATCACCTTTGCTGTGTGTTATCTTACTGATAACCTCTCTGCTCCTACGTTAATTCAACATCAATACTGTAGCCATGAAGCTGCTGTGTATGTGTCTTAATGGAGCACACCAGTCAACAATATGTGGGAATTTTTTAGAGTGGGTGGTGTCGTTTTCCTCTTGTTATTGCTTTAAATGGATGACACAAAAACTTTAAACTTTAAAGGAATCACTGTGGAAATTACAAAGTTATATTTGTTTATACACTTTTAATTCATTTTTAAACATTGGAGGTCTCGCTGGAAATGACCTTGTTTACAATTTTCTCCCAGTTTCCTCTCAGTCACTGTTTCCCAAGGTGTCATATTCCATGTTTGTCAAAGAGTGAACGCTAATGGTGGGGAAAAAAGTGAGCGGATGTGTGTCAGGAGCTGCGTAGTGAAAGTGGAATTGATGCACTTAAAACTGGTGATTGCACATTATATCTGAAGTGCCTGATCATTTTTCCAACATGAGCGCTCTCCGACAACTGATGTTTTTATGGAGGCATTTACAGTGTTACTATTTATTTGAATGTATTTTGTAGGTGTTTTACATTTTTTCTTACTTTGTGTCAAAAAATGACTACTAGCTTTCTCTACATTACTTAACTTTCAAAGAATATTTTTTTCTGTAAATCAGGAGATATTTGACATCAGAAGCACAAACTTTGTATATTTCACACTAACTCACACGGTGGCCTCTCTTTTAATTCTGTGTTCTTAAATGAAATAAAGTAAATGAAATAAACTCTTTTGTTGTCCTTTTATTATTTTTTTATTTCAAGAACCCCCCAAAAATGTAATGACAGCTAAAGTAACCTTACAGTTTTGTTTCCAGACAATACAGGTGTGGATATGCTGTTTACAGTCAATACATTTTCCAGAGTCAACACAGACCACTAAGGGGAGTCAAAGCCTCCAGTCCTCAGGGAGGGACACATCTCACAGACCTCATACCCCCTCCCCATGTAATTGCAGGGTACTGTAAAGCCAAAAGTTATTTTCACCGCTTTTAAGAGTTTAGCATAACATACAATCACATTTGGAGCAGGAAGAAGAGCTCTTTGTGGCTTTTTCTTTACAGTCGTTAAGAGTTAAACTATAATTCTCTTCCAGGTCAAGTCTCTATCGTGAAATACTTTTAATTATACTTTACAGTGTTTATTTTGAAGAGACGCTTAAATCTGTGTTAAGGACATGCAGATGGGACGGGGTTGAAGCTTGCCTGTGACTTTAAATCCTGCTCATTGTAAGCTTTGAACGTCTACATTGATTGGTTGTTGGAAATTCTTTGTGCAATTCTGATTGGTTGTTAAAGAAAGTTTTGCCCGCTTTTGATTGGTTGTTAAAAATCACAGAGCGCACTTCTGTTTTTGTTTCTTCCCCTTTTTTGCGTGTTTGTCATGAAGATCATGAGACTCTGGCTGGATGTTCCTGCACATTCAAATCACGGCCTCTATCCTGCTGTTGCGAAGGTAAGTTCCCCCTTACCGATTACTGATTATTTTCACTTTATTTGACTCTTAATAACAAAGTAGTCGAAACATCAATTCCGTATCGATACAGCAGAGCAACACTGTGGTTACCTGAAAAATCACGCTCGATCAAAAACAAAATAAATATGTTTGGTACAAAGCTGACATTATTGCTGACTTCTACAAAAAGTTTTTATTGAAAACACTTGACACTTTTAGACTATTGTTGCCTCAAAACTTGAGATAAAAAAGCAACCCAACAAAAACAATGCTTGTGGTGCTGCTAACAATTTAACAATATCCTCTCCCAGTTTGACAACATAGCTTAGTGATGTGAGCGTCAATCTACAGTTTTCTCTTTTTTTTGTTTTTTGTTTCAGGTATGAGTTCCTTTCACCTCAAGGTGCTGCTTTTCATAAATCTGAACAGCCTCGTGTCAGGGCTGCAGTTTGCAACCTCCTCTTTCTCTCAGGTGCCTTTCCTCACTGTGTGGAACGCCCCCACTGCCAGCTGTCTGTCTCAGTATGGCGTGGACCTGGACTTGGGCACGTTCAGCATTGTCCAGAACCAGAACCAAACTTTTATGGGAGAAAACATAACCATTTTTTACGCTGAAAAGCTTGGTCTCTATCCCAGATACTCTGGCCAAACAGCCATCAATGGTGGTGTCCCACAAAATGCCAGTCTGGAAGAACACCTCAGAGCAGCTTCTGATGACATCCGCAACTTCATCCCTGACAGGGATTTCCAGGGCCTGGGAGTGGTGGACTGGGAGAGCTGGCGGCCTGTATGGGAGAGAAACTGGGATAGTAAGCAGGTGTACTGGGAGGGATCTAGAACACTAGTGAGGGCTAAGCATCCTGACTGGAGCCCTGCACAGGTAGAGGCTGCAGCTCGGGTGGAGTTTGAGAAAGCTGGGAGGAAATTTATGGAGGAAACACTGAAACTGGGGCAGGAGGAGAGACCGAATGGGCTGTGGGGTTTTTATGGTTTCCCCAACTGCTACAACTACTACAGTGAGAAAAGCTCAAACTACACTGGGGAGTGTCCTGCTGTGGAGTTAAAGAGAAACGACATGCTGCTGTGGTTGTGGAATGTCTCCTCCGCTCTTTATCCCGACATCTACCTCAGCCTGGAGCTGAGAGGGCTCGGCAGAGAAGTGCTGCTGTACACCCACCACCGCATCCTGGAGGCCATGAGAGCTGGAGCTCAGGCTGCTCCGTCAACACCTCCTGTGTTCCCATACGCTCGGGTCGTCTACACATACACCTTAGATTTCCTCTCTCAGGTTAGTAGCAGATGCTTTAAATCCATACTTTTTACTTACTTATTTTACATACTCTACTGTTTATACTAATTCCTCTGATGTTAACCTGTTTTTTCATCCTGCAGGAGCACCTGGTGTACACCATTGGAGAGAGTGCAGCTCTAGGATCTGCTGGGGTGGTGCTTTGGGGTGATCATGACTTTGGCAAATCAAAGGTAGAGGCAACTGATCAGTTCAAATTCATTTGGATTGTTAAATTGCAAAAAATTCACCAACCTTCAGTTTTCCTGGAAGTTTTTAAATCTGCAAACTTAAAGGAAAATAAAAATGTTTCCTGTTCTCACACCCAAACAACTGACTCCTTGTGAAATGTGCTGTCATGTATAATGCAGTGCAATAGTTTCAACATAATAACATTGATCAATTTTGTTTGGACTCTAGCATGTCATTTTTTTTATTTTTTATTGCGTTCACTTTGGCTGACTTAGTTATATATTGTATTTCAACTTCCTCAACAAAAAAAGGAAAAGCTCTTGAGCACACAGACATTTGTGAAAAAAACGTTTCTTCATTTTCCCCTTACTGATCCAGTAATCTAAACCATGTCATCATAACTAGCTGGAAGGATAAAAACCTGAAACGACTAACTTATGGAAGCCTAACAAACAGGACGACACATTTTAAACGTAACACCGAACCTTTAATTTTCTCTTGTAAATCTCTTAGACCTTCAAAGGTGTTTTGCAATAACTGTTCTCAGATGGTGTCACTTGTGGTTTATTGGTACCATGGTGATTCGTAAGTCACATGATGGACTGGAAATTAGGAAACAGGAAGCAGTCTAAGACATTACCCTGATGAGGGCCATGAAAGCCAACAATGAAGTGCAAGGAAAAAAGGGGGTTGAACTGGAGAAGAGCCATGTGGCGTGTTTTCATGGTGTTGGATCTGAATTGAAGCTAACACTAACTTTCACTTTACCATTTTTTTTTTTTAAAGTAAGACCTTTTAAAAATAAGTTTTGTAGAAGTTTTTTCAACTTCTTAAATTGTGTTACTTTCCTCTTTAGTTCATGTTGTTTTAAAGAATGACTTTGAGTTTTCTGTATCTTTTTTCATTGTTGGTAAATCTAGAGAAAATACCAAAACACCTCCTTAAAGACTCTCTCCAAACCAATTCTGTCCACAAAGGTTTTCCTGAAACCTAACATGACGAAATTCATGTCAGCTGCTGGGAAATATATCCTATATTTCATAATGGAATGAGCTGTTGAAATCCCCAAAACAATACTTGAGCATCAACTCTGGCCCCAACTTTACTTGTTACTTTTCTTTAAGACATACAGACATACTGAAAGCATACCGTTTTGTAAATTCTTCATTGGTAATTCTTTGGAACATCCATTTATAGCAGTATCTGATTTCTTTCCTACTCCTAGGCCACCTGTGAAGCCATCAAATCCTACATTGATGACACCCTAGGTCTGTACTTGGTGAATGTAACAGCAGCAGCCGTTCTCTGCAGTCAGACCCTGTGCTCCTCTCAGGGAAGATGCCAGAGAAAGGAGATGAACTCAGGGGCCTACCTCCACCTCGATCCTGCCATGTGGAAAGTGGTGTCAGAGAAGAGACTGGAGGGGGGGCAGAACTACAGAGTGTACGGACAGGCGAGAGCACAAAGGTTGACATCCATGAAGTCTGAGTTCCAGTGTGTGTGTTACCAGGGCTGGGGCGGAAAGAGCTGCTCGAAACCTGCTCAGGTTTAAATGACTTTTCTAAATGGAGGTAATCGAGTGAAAGTATTGTTCTAATTAACAGTAGTAAAGTCTGTTAGAAGTGTTAAAAGGACTCCATACAGAGGTGGGCTGGGACTGTTTGGCTCAGAGGTAGTTATCTGCATCAGTGCATGAGGTCTCCTGTGAATGGAAATGAACAAATCTTTGACCGATGTGTTTACCTAATTAATTACTTTTATAGTTTCCCTTAATTTATATGGGAGATAATATTCATTTTAAACCCCCACCTTAACCCCCCCCCTTATTTTTTCTAAACAATCATTCACATTCCAATTATGTCTAATAATAAATTTGTCTTTCAAATGAGCATGTCAAATCTCTCAGTACTAGTTCATGAAACACACTTTCAAAAGTCACCATGCATACAAACATGAGTTTTGCTGGATGTTTAAACTTCCCTGTCCAGAATCAGCCATGTGCAGGGTGTAACACTGCACATAAATGTGACATCACTAAATGATGTCACATTTATCTGCTAAAGGAAAAAAGGCTCTATTTGTTTTCATTAAATCTAAGGTGAAAACATGCATCTACTGTATGAGAAGGATTTAAAAACAGCATCTCCGTGTTATTTGCTAATCAGGGTCTAACATGCACCCTGCAGTGATGAGCTGTGGAAACCTGAATCCTATAGTCCACTTACTTTAAGTGAAAGTGAAGACATTTTGTATTACACAGTCAAACTTTTCAAAGCAGAAAATCGCACATTAATTGAGCCTGGATGTTTAAGTGAGAGAGAAGGAGGACTCCTGAAGTCATTACTGTACCCACAGTACTGTGTGTTTTAAAAATGTATGTTAGGCTTTTGTCTGCAGATATGACAGTGGATAGAGTATAGATCTGGTGAGAGAGTGGTGTGTGACATACATGAAAGGAGCCACAGGTCAGTCTTAAACTAGGCTGCCAGCTCGGAGGACTGCGCCCTCCGTACACTGGGCGCGACCTTACTGCTAGGCCATCAGTGCCCCTGTACTGGAAAACTGTAACATGATGTTTAGGTTTGCCTGATGAAGGTCTAGTACCGGAATCTTAGTTTGGAAGTAAGACAGTGTGCAGGAGTTTACCTCTAAGTTTCTGATGGACACACTGCTCTCCTACAGTTGTCGTATGGAAAAGATGCACAAAGGTTTTGTTGTTGATGCTGGCATTATGGTTCAAATACTTTCACCAAGAGACCAAGACAACCAGTGCTGGTACTGTACTTGAGTATATTTTCAGGTTCTTGCACTTAACTTGAGTATCCTTTCTATATGCTATTTGGCAAAACATCATTTTATTGGCTCTTCACCTTTATTAGACAGTACAACTGAAGAGAGACAGGAAACATGGATAGGAGAGAGTGGGGTCGACATGCATGAAGAAGAGAACTGGAATCATCAAACCTGCAGCGGTGCAATGAGAACTTCACCTTTGAACAAGGTGAGCCTGCTCTGCAAGGGATTAAAAACTTAGCAGTGTTTAAAGTAATTAAAAACTGCTCTACACATTATAAAGCTGCTCAATAATTCCTTCATCAGTAACAATAAATATAAATATAATTCAAAATGGATTTTAAAAAAAATGTAATCAAACCTATAATAGGGCCATTTAGCAAATAATACTCATATAGGCTATCTATGCAGCACATATACACCTACAATGGAGTATATGTATTTGCTACTTTTACTAAAGTAGAGGATCTGAATACCTCTGCCACTGAAATCTAGAGGGAATTTCCAATGTTTACTGAAACTACATAAACGTAATAGCTTGGACATTGAAACATATTCATGTGAAACCAACAGGTGGTGCTGTGGGACAGATAACTGGAATCAGACATGAGACATGAAGGTCAGAGCTGTTGGTGCAAGTAATCACAAGTAGAGCAAAACCACTGCAGAGGAAAAAAAACACATCTGACTCAGTATTTCAGATTGTTAAAACTTTTCTGCACAACTCTGCAGCAGCTGGAGTGTTGGCAATGAATTAAACCCTCAATAAGGTAGAACCAGAGCAGCATGAGGTGACCTTGATTGATTTACAAGAGGCATGTACATGTCGTCTTATCTGATGGCACCTCTGCTCCAAACGGGTGTTGTTGATTATAATTTCCTTCCTCTGCTCCCCATGAGGTAGAGGAGGCTGGAATCAGAACTCCCATAAGGCCACACTGTCTCCTACCTCAGGCTTTATCATCACTCTCTGAATTGTGAGGAAATGAGGAGCAGATAGAGACCTTTTTTAAAAAAGCTGTTGGACTTTATATATATAGTCAGCTTGCATGTGCTTTTTAAAATATGTGTCTTAGAGGAGATTGTACCATCTCAAAGCAGACAAACGGCTCAATTGGTTTTTAAAGAACAAGGACAAATTGAATGTCTCTGTTCGAACATTATATTTACCTGTAGTTACTTGATAATGGCAGGAAAATAACATAACAAGGCTCTCTTGCTGATTGACATTCAATGCTGCTTGTCAGCCAGTTCATTATTATTTCCTTCACCGTGGCAGCCTAAACTCTGCTCTCGCTCTCTAATGCTGTTATAAATAAGCTTGGATTTATTTATGTAAGTTATTTTTCTTTTACAGCAAAAAATGTAAATGCAATATCATAGTAGAACTTTTCTGCCTGTTTGCAGCTTTACGAAGAAGAACTTTCATTTTTCATGAAGATTTTGTAACCTCACATGTAGTTTATATTTGATATGATGGAGTGAGTTTTACACAAAAACAACCAGCTTTCATTAATCACAGAATGTAAAACTTTTGGTTTCCAGCTATTCATGAACAGAAGTCATTGAGATCTGGTTATCTGGTTTGACTGGTCTTCTCTTTTTCCTCTGTCAGGTCTGGCAGGCCGTCTATCTCTCTATCCTCTCATCTCTGCGTTTCTTCATTTTGGCGTCTCGCTCTGTCACTCCTCCATGGTCACGTCTCTGCTCTCTCCCCACTTCTCGGTTTCCAGATCGTCTCTCTTGCTCTCAGTTTAATAACTGTTTTGTCACGCTCTGTGTCTTTGTCCTTCAGAGGAGTCAACTCTCCGATCAGCTCCTTAAAGATCTGTTGTTCCCTTGTTTGCGTGATTCATGTTCGTATAATGTACAAAAAAATATGTAAAAATATGTTTTACACATATTCTCACAAAAGCCATGACGGTGATCAGGATTTTAATACATGCATGAAACTTCCCTGTGAAGAAGGACATCAGTGTGACAATTTAGGAAAAACATTTTTTTCATTTCAAGTGAGATTTAGAAGTTCAAGGCTGAATATACATATGAAGCTCAGACCATAGGCAGTAGTTAGCTTAGTTAAGCACAAATAAAAAAACATAGGGAACCTACAAGCCTGGTTCTGACCCATTGTCAAAAAATGGTAGAATGACGTTGATATTGAGTCCATTGAAAATGTTAAGGAGGTTGAGTCAACCTCACATTTCTTTTGCGGGCAGCCCCTTAAAAGTGTGTGTGTTGAATCATCATTCAATATGACCCCAAGTCTGCACGCATTTTGTCAGTCAAGTTTATACACTTTGATTTGTTTAGTTGCCTCATTCACAGAATAAATAAGGCACAACTAGCAGGCTGAAAGTAAAGGGAGTTTGAAAATGAACCTTCAGCATTAACTATTTAGGCCTTCATGGATTTTCCTGGAAGCTAAAATATCTGCAAAGGCCTCCTACTCTCTAAAGAAAAAGACCTGGGTGATAAATACAAGGAAAGACACTGATTAAATAAGTTTCAGGTAAAAAATGTGTGTATCTCCATTGCTCTCTGAGATATATAGCAGAAGTGCTATACCAACTGCAAAAGTCTCCTTCTCCAAAATTCACACAGAGCCAGTTATTAAACTCAGTAAAAAAAAATCTGTTTCACTTTAGCTAGCTAAGTAGCTACCTAAAATCCTTTGTCCTGTTAAATGATATAAGTTGAAGTAAAACTAGCAATGGGAAACTATGTTGTCATAATGTCACAATGGTGTATCTTTATTTTAATTTCAGTATTCAGCTACTTCCTAACTAAACCTATTGTTACCAATAAGCTAATTGGCTTAGAGTGTGGTTTATGGCTAATGTTAGCGGTTGTTAGATGAGGGTAATATGTCCAAAGTTTATTGTATTTACTCCTTAATTATTATTATAGTTTTATCTTATTATGCCTTCAACAGGAAATATTAGCATGAAGCCATTTTCGAGCTAATACTTACATTAGTGGCTGAATGCTAACTTATGCTAACATTAGCTTATAGGTTAACGTTGGTTTTAATTTTAGAAAAAGCCCTATTATATGCAATAAAGTGTTGAAATGATAATATGTCAGATTCCCTACACTTCAGTATGATATATTAATAGCATATGATTTTCAGATGTTGATAGTGATGTGATGTTACTGATGAAAATGGCTGCAGTGTGAATATGATCTTTCAGTTTCCCGTTTTGATGGTCCTCCCTTTCTGAAACAAAGTGGTTATTGTTGTAACCATGACTGCAAAGGTCCCCTAACTGGCATAGGGTCAGAAAATTATTTTACTTAAAAAAAACAACAACTAATTTTTATTGTCAAATGTGGCATCACATATCACGCTCATGAGAGAGGTGCTGGAAGTGCCACTGCCAATTGTTGTTTAATTTGGAGAACTTTTTACAAAAAAATTAACTGAAGACAAACATTTCAACAAAGGTGTATGTTTTACACATATTCTTCGATTCCCATTTTTGTGTAGATTTAATAAATAAGATATAAGCATTCCGTTCTAAAGCTTAAGAGGTGCTATATATTTTGAATGATATTTGGACAAAAAAGAATGAGCTATTCCTTTAAATAAAACTGGTAAGGACATTCTGCTTCTCATCCTGACTCGCATGATCCTGACAAGTAAAAAAGCAATTTTGTATAATAATTTCCATGCAGTCATCAAATGCAACTTCTCCTTTTCAATAAGTTGGAATCATATGCTTCTTTTCATACTAAAAGACGATGATTGTCAGTAAGTGGTCTGTGAAATGGATGGAAAAAGGGACTCTTGAATCGCTTTTATCACATTTCCAAGTAAGCAAATGACATCAGAGCAGAGACTGGGAGACATGTTATAAAAGGCAAATAAAAGGCGAGGTGTTATAGAGGTCACAGCGTCATTTTCAGATGGATATCTCTGCACGGATGTGTGCTGACCGGATCCTAGATGCTGGATAGTGATCAATAAATTTGTAAATCAGTGCAGGAAAAAGGTTGTAGAAATGATTTTTAAAAATCTGATTGCAATATGTCTTTTTAGTTTGTGTTTTGAAGTGTCATGTGTGTGTGATAGAGCCGTGGAGGATTTGCTTCC